CCCCCCCCCCAGTACTTTTTTCTGCTGCTAGATATCCTTAGTCTGATGGCCAACATAATCCAATCCACTTCCTCTGAGCCCAGATCGTACGGGACCTGTACCAGCCTGTGACTGGACAGTGGAAGGAGAAGCAGCCCAGTGATGAACTCATTTTCCTGTCACTCCGCATTCTTCTCCTATCAGCATGTTTCAGCATATGAACTGATTGGCACCATGTGGCTCCTTGTGCTGCTGCTTCCTGTTACACTCCAGCCCTGCTGTACAGGGGCTGCAAGATGCTAAAGATAGGACAAATTCAAGCACTTACACTATTTGAATGTAAAAAATAAATGTAATTATGTATGATTAAAGAACTGCATTCATTTGTATCTTTTATATCTGCCTTAAACACTTCTAAAAGGTAACAGCAATGCTGAAGGACATCACCTTGAGGTCCCTGCAGGTATATGCATAAGTCTTCAAAACGCTCCCTGTGCCCCCCTGTAAACCCCACTTGGATTCCAGGCCCAGTCTGTTATAATTCAACTCTCAAATGCCAAACTATGGTAGCCGTCAGTCGAATGGCAGGAGGTGGAGCTTATTGTGGTAAGGGTCAACGTGCAGCTGTCAAGACTATACTGTATGTACAGCCTAAAGTAGGCTATACACTCAGCAAGGTTTGCTGCATGGGTGCCGCTGTCTGCACCCTTCCGCCCGGCATCGCTCAATAAGCTAATCGAAGGAGCGTGCCCGAAAATTCTCAGCTCCAATTAGCTGCAAGCTCCATGCGGGTACTCTGTTAACAGCATGCAATGAAGACACCAGGGGATTCCTCGACTAACACTCATAAGCGTACATGGAAGAATCCATTCAATTTTTTCCTTCAGCCTGCAGGTTAAACAAAAACAAAAAAAAATAGAACCGTGTATAACCAGCTTAAGCCTATGAGCCACAGGGATGCAACAACTACATTGCAATCAATCTTAAAACATCTTAGAGGTGACTTCATTATAATTTTTTTAAGTACATCCAGGCTCAGTATTAAAACCAGAAATATTTGTTTAGGAAGAAGCTGATAAAACTGGACACAGCCAAATGTCATATATAATCTCTAGC